CTCATGAGTCTCCAGCGCATTTCTCTGATAGAGTCTTTCCCTTTAGAGTTTGAGCGAGGCCATATGCGAGGTCAGAGCCTCCACAGACTGCCGAGCTTCAGAGTCACGCTGTGAGACACTTGTGCGCATCTAAGGATGACAGCTTGTCTCTTATCTTCGGTGCTGCTCTTGTGGCCCCTTTGCTCCATTACTTTATCATTCCATTTTCCCTGGCTCCTTCCCAAGAACATTTCCGAATAGCGGAGTTATCCAAATACTGGAACGTTAAGCAAAACTGCCACTTGAACTTTCCCTCGATAAATAGGCAGATTAGAATCTAAATCCTTTGTTTCGGGAGCCACCAATGCTCCCCACAGTCTGAGACGTGACATCCCATTTTTTTACTGCGTGAGTCTGCCGAAAACAGACTTCTCAATGATTTTCAAAAGCTCTACGGCTTTGGCAAAAGCAGCCTGACCCAAAATAGCTGACGTGAAGAAACAGCAGCCGAGCGCTGGTCTGGGACAAGCTACCAGAAGGACTTAAGTTTGTCTGTATGCGAAGTGCAATACAGAAACGACAACTTATTCAGTGGCACTTGTCTAAAGGTCACCTTTTCAAACTAGTGCACAAATATCAAGCGAGCATTTGTGACAGTCAGCAATGAGGGCCGCCCCACCTCCTGGACCAATCATCCCCTCTCCCACTGGGAATAGTGGTACCACAGAGCAGTTGGTACTAGCAGGTGGCAAGCGACTGGCCCTGGTCAAGAATTTTGTTCTGAAACAGCTGTCCAACCCCTTGGAAGCTGCTGGCTTTCTCCATCCTAATGTGATCTATTTGAAAATACCAATTAAGTGAATACTATTGGTTCAGTTCAAACTATTGTGCATGTTACGGAGTAAGACTAGTGAATAGGGAAAATTCCCCCAAAATTTAAAGTCTTTCTTTTATCTGCGGAACACAAAAGAAGATTTTTTTTGGTTTCCAACATGGTTCAAAATATCAAACAAACAAAAATTTCATACAGGCTTGGAATGAGATGAAGGTGAGTATTTTCTCATGAATTTTCCCTTTTAGTCATTGTAAAGCATTTGAATAATAGTATTAACTAACCAAACACTTACCAAATGCAGAATGTAAAATTGTACCTAGAAAATGGCAGGACTTACAATACTTCACAGCTATTTCACTTTTATTGCTATTTTCAAATTATTAGCATTCTCAGACAGTCTTTGAGCTAAAAAAGAAAAGAAAAAGAATGTTGTTGAAGGCTGGGCAGTACAGCAATATAAAAAACACAAATATATAACAATAGAGATTCTGCTCTACCATTTTAATAGCAGAATTGCATTTAAAACACCAGTTTCCAGTGCAGACAGCTTCGTTAATTCGGAAATGGGGCAATTAAAAAAAAAAAATACAAGGTTGTTTAAAATGTGGTGCAAGAATTCAAATTGTGCGGTTGCAGGTGCGTACATGTCAGCTATTTCACAACAGCTTTGAATGTGGCTCATTGTTATACAATTTGAGAAAAGCTTTTTTTTTTTTTTTTTACTGATGCCAAACTCATAAATTAATGTAACAAACATAAAAAAAAAAATCCAAATAAATTCTTCTTTCCCATTTTACCAAAATGTTTGGAATCTAAATAAATATCTTTATTCTGTACTATTATATAAAAAAATGACCAAATGGCTGTGTAATATATAAAAACATATTTTTCCTGCAACATTTGTGATATTTATTTATACCACTAAATTACTCAAAGCAGCAGCAGTAGCGTGATATGCGCTGTTAATATGAAATGACACCGTTTTGGTCATGCCACTTCAAAAAGTCCTCTATTATGTCTTTGTAATTATAAATATATATATATATATATATACCAATCCAGCGACAAAAGAAAGAAATAGAGAGTGAGGGGAGAAGAACTCAAACAGCTCATGAAGCAACAGAACCACACAGAACATATTCTGCACTCCTCTATAGGGCTCACTGCATTTTATACTTCCTATTTCACTCCTGATTCTGAAGGGGAGAGCGAGAGACTTTGTGTCTATGAATCTGAGAGGAGTGCAGCTCTAAGAGCTGACACCGCAACACTGCTCTTGGCACGGTAAAAGACTCCTGGATGCTTCAAGGTTGCCCTCTGATTCAGTGGCACTAGGTTATGAAGTAGCTTGTTTCAGTGAGTTGGAGTTGACAAAGGGGGAGGAGTGAATGTGAGCGTCTGGACCAGATCCCTTGCGTATGTGTCTTCTAACCAGAATGGCAGAGCCAGTGACTGATTTAACCATTTTCTAACTCAGACACGCTATCAGTTTGAGAGTGCAGCTTATTTGACTTAGATAACACCACTGACAGCTAAAAAGCAATACCAATACCCAATGGCTGCTAAAATTAACCTTTTTTTTTTAGTTGAAAAATTGCTCAATACAAACAGTTGTACAGAAACACTATTGCTCATGCTCCCTAACTTTTGTGGATTTATTTGAGTGAATAGTGAATTATTTGAGAGAGTCACATTTAACCACAAGATTAAAAAAAATGATAATAACATTATTATAAATATATATATATATATATATATATATATATATATGGAAGCGAAAAAAAAACCTGTGTATATATAATATATATATACACGTTTTTTTTTTTTTTTCGCTTCCATTCGAAAGTAAAGAATTTTTGGAAAGTAAATAATTTTTTTTTTTTCAAAGAAATTGTTACTTTTATTTAGCAATGACACATTAAATTGATCAAAAGCGACAGTAAAGACATTTATAGCATTACAAAAGGTTTAAAGGTTTCTATTAAAAAAAAATATTAGGCAGAACAACTGCTTTCAACATTGATAATAATAATAAATGTTTCTTGAGCAACAAGTCAACATATTAGAATTTTTTTAAGGATCATGTGACACTAAAAACCGAAACTTTTGAACACTACTGAACGTTTTTTAGCATAACAAAGCTTGAAATTTAATCAAACAAGGATGATTTTCATTGCAGTTTTAGACCTTTTTTTTTCCCACAATGTAAAAAATCTCGGAATGCTAGACATCTCAATTGTACTCAAAACTGGCTTCATTCTCTTTGTACAAAATATAATATATTATATAATAAATTATATAATATATAATAAAGTAATCTTAATTTCCCTTTGATTTTAAGGTGAAATTTTCCACAGGAATTTCTTCATGAGATTCACCCAGTTTTAAAATCCACTGCAGTGGTCAAAGATCCACTGGGAGATTCATCGAGATGGAACATATGCTGTACATACTGTATGGGAGAACCGAATGCATGCTTTACTAAGTGTATATATTCTTTGTTTGCCACCTCTTAAACCACTCATTGCTGTGTGTTAAGATGAAAGGACGAACAGGCACATGCTCTATAGATGTAATTAACTAATGTGTCCTCACCAGATGGAATCTGAGAAGCAAGCAGGTAAGTAGGTGGTCATTTAACTGATGCTTTTATCCAAAGTGACTTGCTTATTTCAAGGACAATCCCTCCAGACACTAAGTGTGTTGCTCAAGGGCACACCAGTGACTGTTGTTCCTCAGGGGGCTCAAACCAGCAACCTTTTGATTTACTCTGAAAATCCTGATCCTTTGGTACTACGCCTCACCACATAAAACTAAATACACAGACTGGACTTCAAATTCGGCAAGAAATAAAATAATGACTGTATCTATTTTCAAAATGTATATTGTTAATCTTAATGTGAACAATTCATCCATTCATATGGTTCATTGTTTGGTTTGGTTTTTTACCTCGTAATGTTGAATCAAAATGTTTTAACTCAATCTTCTGGTGAAACGACAGACTTCTCTCTGGTGACGTATGCCGGACTTCTCCAATGAGTTAATTCGCTTTCTTACAATAAACTGCAACCTCACACATTTTTTTAACATGACAATACAGAAGAAAGGATGTTTTTTCATTGTGACTTTATATCGTCATTATATTACCTTTATAATGCTTGCGCTTTGTCGCATTTTTAACCATTTTATTAAATTAATGTACACTCACAAGATCTTTAAATAGCGAATTTGTACATTGAGATCATATAACCAGCCGAATGTTTTTAATTAGTTTATTTAAAAGCTGATTTATTGATGGTAATTTAATTTCCAATTATACCTAAAATACGTGCACAAAACTGAATCTCATAAAACTTCAATGTATTCAAGCAGAACAGACTTCTACTCTTCTACTTTCTAGTGTAGAACTACCTGTGAGGCTTCTGCAAATCAACAGAACATCAGCAAAAAAACAAGCAGCAAATAAATAATTAAAGAAATAAATCAATGAGTAATTGAAAATTAGTGGTGACACATTGATCCAGCCTGCCCGGCTGGTGTTAAGTGGGTCTGTCTGAATGAGACGGCCACCGCTAAAAGACGGTTTAAAGCGTAATTGATTTTTGTTTCCAACGAGTCAGAGTCACAATGAGCTAATAATGTGGGATGATGAAGATCACTCGCCTTTCTGTATTTATTCTCCTCACGCTGACTTGACAATGCAATCTAGTGTACGGACACACGACAAGCGTATGCCATGACAAGTTTCACGACAAACTTGCGAGGAATGGAAACATTGCCTGAACTTTTATTCTTATCTAATTGAAACATAACTACCTAAAATGTCAGTGTTCTAATTCATCCTAAAAATAAACCAGGACTTTCTAATGTAAATGTAACTAATAATTCTGATTATTATTAGTAACTCAGCTGGATGACATTTGCATGAATTGGATGGCATTCTATTGCATATTATGCGGATATACATTCGATTACTTGGAATTTATACAGATTTCTATATGTAAAACCTTTACATTTGCAAAAGTGAGTTCACCTTTAGGTTATTTTGTCTAAGTTAGATAAAGCTCTGCACTGCAAAAGGATATTGAATATTGAAATATATTCTAAAATTAATTTTTCAAAACTTTGTGCAAACATTTGAGATCAATATTTGAGTTGTTTTTGGTGGCAGAATGTGGGATTTCACCTTCATGCACGGTCACGCCACAGTTGTCACACTGGATGATCTCATCCGCATCTTCGCTGTTGTCTCCCAGACACACGCAGCAGATAAGGATATGCTCCATCCGCTGGGAGCTCCAGGTCTGGGGACGCTCCAACAGAGAGTCCTGAGGAAGCAACGGATAATTTAGCAATCCAACTCAAGTTAGGGATGTTACAACTGATAGGACAAGTGCTCTACCAAAGTCCAAATATCTTCCTCTGAAAACAGTTCGAGGATCAGTGTAAAAAAAAAAAAACAAAACTGAGACAAAAAAGTAAAGCCACTCAAAAGCTTCTGCTCTAATTCCACCTCTGAGATTGGAAGATTAGCCAATCCTATAAACTGAAGTTCTCAGATAAGCCCATTCACAAGGATTGCTCTTTTGTATCAACAATCTGATGCTATGTGAGCCAATGACTGGATTATCTGATTGCTTTCCTAAATGCACAATAATACAATTGCATCTGAGAATTCAAGCTGGTTCCTTTTCATACAACTAAACTTTTGGACAAGTGGATAGATCAACTATTTGATCACACTAAATGTAAAAAATAGGGCACACATATTGCCAGTTTTCAGTAAATGATGGAGACAGATGGCTAGTTTATTTATAAATCAAATCTGAACAGTACTTCGTAAAGCTATTTGCATTAAAGAGTTAGTTCACCCCCCAAAAAATAAAATCAATTGCACACCCTCATGTCGTTCCAAATCCCTAATCCCGACAAAAGGGTGAATAAATAATGAAAGAATTAAAAATTTTGGGTGACCTATACCTTTAGTTGTAGGGTGGAATATAACTGAATCTCAACAAAGTATAATCTACAGCATGAGGTAAATATATCTGAACAAACATGATTGAGAATATCCCCGGAAGATTGAAGCAAAACCATCTTTGATAAACACATACGATAAAGTCCATAAAGTGTGGTGGAGAAAATAATATTGAGCATTCTGAAGAATGTACAATTCATGTTTTTTATGAACAAAGTAAATAAGGTGTTGCTCTATCTGATAATGACAAGTTACTTACTGTAAAGAATAAAATATTTTTAAAGGAGTCTTTAATGCTCACCAAGGCTCCATTTTTTTTTATCATAAACAGTAATATTGTGAAACATTATTACAATTTAACATATCTTATATTTTAATATATTTTTTTAAATATAGCTAATTGACTATGACTACTGTGATGCAAAGCTGAATTTTCAGTATTATTACTCAAGTCTTCAGTGTCACATGATCCTTCAGAAATCATTCTAATATGCTGATTTGCTGCTCAAGAAACATTTCTTTTTATTATCAATGTTGAAAACAGCTGTGCTGCTTAATATTTTTATAAAGCTGTGATACCGTGATGCAGTTTTTTTAAAGGATTTTTTGATGAACAGAAAGTTTAAATGGAAATCTCCCGTAACATTATAAATGTCTTTATAATTAACGTATTATTATTTAATGTTATTGACCCCAAACTTTTGAACAGTAGTGCAATATCAGAGATTTTACCTCATTGCCCTTTCCATGGGATGTGCTGTGGCTGTCATTGGTCTCCTCCTCGTCAAATGCGCCAGTGTTCTTGCCTGCTTTTCTCTTTGGTTTCTTCCCTTCTTCCTCACTATCACTGCTACTAGTCTCATTTTCATCATCCTCATTGTCCTCTTCATCACTACCACCATCATCATCCTCTTCATCACTCCCTTCTTTCTCCTTCCCAGATGATGCCTTGCCTTTCTTTTTTCCTTGCGTGGGCCTCCAGTCATTGTCATCCTCGCTGTCATAATCATCCATTTCGTTTAGCTCTTCCATCGTAGTGAAGTCCAGCATGGGCCGGTTTCGTCGGAGGTTCCATTTTTTCGGCTCTCCTGAGGCCTCCTCGGCGGTGCCACTACCATTTGGTTCTGTATCTGAGGATTTTTCTCCTTTCCTGCGATTCTTGGAGGTTCCCTCTGTTTCTTTGCTGCTGGTCTCCTCAGAGAAAGACTGTTCCTTGGCTTTTTCCTCTTCTTCAGTGTCTTCATTCAAATCTTTGGTCTCTTCGTCATCTATGCCCTCTTCATCAGCTGAGCCAACAGCGTCAGAGTCGCTCTCAGAGCCCGCAGCGCTGTCATTTGAACCCTCCTCATCACTCCCGTTGCCGGTACCCTCTGAACCTGGGACAAAAGAGAAATTAACTTAGCAGTGTTTTGTGCAGAACAAAACATACCTCAGATGTGACGCAAAAAATACTCTGCTGACAGCAAGCATCTGTTTCATGTACAATGGATCAACAATGTATAAATATTTTAAATGACAAAAATATATATAACTCAATATACAACTACAATAGTTTTTCTAACAAATTCTTAACTTTTTAGGATTAAATGCATGGATCACAAAATATATTTATATATAGCTAATAATGGTTACAATTTTGTGTGGTTGGGGTATATATATATAATTTATATGATGATGTTGTTGTTTTTTATCTAGTGTATTAAAGCAGCCTTGCTGCTGTGATCACTTTCAGTTCTTATTTATCACAATGAGATTTCAATATGTAAATTTCCTATTGTATTTGTTTTCCATTACCTTGCTGCATGTTGAATCGTAAATACCAAAATAATATCAAAAACTGTTATCAATGACGTCAAAAATATCAATGACGTCAATAAAACAGATTGTGAAAAATATCACATAATGTTGCATTTACCTCAGGAAAGTCATCCGATTGTTAGTTAGCTTTAAAAAAAATAGAGAGGAGCTTATTTACTGTTAATTATATATATTATTGAATAAATATGCCATGAAGACAAGTGCTTATGAAAACTACCTTATATGCGTCATCGAGTATACAAACATTTCAACTATTATTTGAGTGTAAGTATTATATCTGTAAATAAATAGCAGAATATAGCTCTGTTGTTAATTTTAACCTTAAATATTATAGTGTACCAAATGAGAGGGTTCTCTGTATAGTTTGCAACATTATTTGGGAGAGATTTTTTATCAATAAGAAAAACCAAACTACTGGTATCAGCATCGGCCGATAGCATTCTGAATAATCGGCTATCGGTATCGGCTGAGAAATTTCATATCGGTGCATCTCTAGTAATTAATGCATTTGTATAATTTTTATACAGCATGCATATGGCAATGATATATTGCCCAAACAGATTCATGTGATTAATCTGACCAGAAATTTCATGCAGCAAAACTTCAAGACCCAAAGGGGTCAAAGTGTTAGAATTTCATTATCAGGTTGCAGATATTTCTGCACTTTGGTTGACAGCAGCTGGATGGGATAGCCTAGCTTTTGAGTTAACCTCCAGTCTGTCATGGTGATATGGAGCCATTGCTTATGTGACTCCAGTGTTAGTAATGCATAACAGGAGGTCTAATCTACAGGCAGGGGGAAAACAGTGACACGCATGGTGATGAAGGTCTCATCTCCACCTCAGCAGCTGTTTTCATGACAGGTGAGAAAACACAAGCAGGGGCCAAAGTCTAAAATGGCCGTGCGCAGTATAAATAAATACATGCAACTATCAGTTATGATTTGATGTAACTATCAGTTATGATTTGACTATTTTAACTGTATGAGACTTGCCATCATTACTTGTCATTATATTACAGATCTAACTGATCCACAATCCCACTTTTTGACATTTGTATTATACCTAACACATACATCAATGTGACAAGAAGTTGTTTTGAGACTATTTACCTGATGCATCTCCAACTTCAAAATCACTGTCATCTGAGCTGTCATAGTCCAGAGCATCCAGCAGAGAGTCAGCCAAAGGCTTCACCTGTCGCCGCTTCGACCCCCGATCCACTAGTTAAAATGAGATTAAAATGTATTTTATAAACTAACTGAAATAAATGTTTAAGAACTAAACGTACTAAAACTGAAATAAAAAGTTAAATAGAATTATTGTTTTTAAAATAGTAATACAATCTAAAGTTAAAAAACCGAAGAAATAAAAATAAAATTAATTTAAAATATTAATAAGTAGTATAATAGTAAGTAACTAATACTAAAGAAACAAAGAAATAAAAGTACAATAAAAACATTAAAACAATTACAACTGATTGTAAAGAAAGACTTGCAGAATGAGCTGAAACGGTGTCATTTTTGCACCAAACCTGGATGGAAATCCATTATTTTAAACAAATTACCAAACAAAATATTCAATAAAAATGTTTAGAAATTAAAACGGTCATACAGCTAGCCTACACACACACACACAGAGAGACAGACAGACAGACAGATAGATAGATAGATAGATAGATAGATAGATAGATAGATAGATAGATAGATAGATACACACACACACACACACAGAGACAGACAGACAGACAGACAGACAGACAGACAGATAGATAGATAGATAGATAGATAGATAGATAGATAGATAGATAGATAGATAGATAGATAGATAGATAGATAGATAGATAGATAACAAATTATAAAGAATTATAAAGATATGAGTTTGCGTAATATCTTCCTACCACGTAAACATTATCTACACCCTTGTGGTCTCTGACTTTAAATGTATTTCCACATTGTTTAAACAAACTACTAATACTAATAAACTACTAATAACGGCAGACAGTGTGTGTGTCTCAAACTCCAGTGAACTACAGTTCAGTCACTCACACATTATGTTGGCTAAACATGCAGCACAGGTCTATGGCGCCTTAAGATGCTGTCACGTCAGCTCACAGAGAAACAGTCTGTTTAGTTTTCTAAGCTGGATAAAGAAGCTAGTTTCCTGGAGAGACGAAAGCGCACTGTGCTTTATAATCTAACATAAGGTGAAAAACGCGTAGAACTGCTGATATTTCATAAGTGATGCTATGTGGTTTGTAAAGCTGAATGATAGAGAGAGCAACTTCACATCAGTTAACGTTAGCCAGCTAGCTAAAGCAGCAGTAGCTTCATGCTATCTATTAACGCTTGTTTCTCTTATTTCACACCACATGTTGTAAATTCTGCTGGTGATTATGTTGTGCTATATTTTCTCTTTCAAAATGTATAATATAACAGCGAGAATTACTCACTTTATGGGATTTTCGCGTTTGGATAGCTTGGACAAAGGTACAACGAACGCCTCTTCAGCTCATGTTCTGCGTAGTACGTCGACTATATTGCGTATCACGTGTACACATTGTGCTGACGTTCAGCTCACAAAGTAGGAGTTGGAAACCATAGCAACCCGCCGCTTCAGTTCACACACCAGAGAAAGACTTGTTAGTTGCCATCGCCTTTGCATGTTCACCAAATGCTCCACAACAATCACGTTGATTTTATAAAATGTTATTTAATTACGTGATTAAATAAATTACTGTTTATTTTATTATTTGGGAAAACAGTAGAAAAATGTGTTCCAACACACTAAAAGAAAAACTATTTAACTGAACACTACTATAATTATATGAACATAAATTATGTAGCGTTAGCCCAGCCCATTTTCAGCGCCTGTCTTCCGGTTTGTATTTCCACAACATGAAGATAAGATCTTATGGATTTATGAATGAACCGCTCATTTAAAAACCTTCTCGGTCTGCTGACATTTTTTATGACATCCTCTTCAAACATTACAATGTCCATGATAACTTTTGTTAACTCTAAAATAAGGAAAATCTACTTCATCAGCTATTTAAATATAAAGAGCTGGCACGACAACAAAAAAACACAAACACAAAATTCTAAAGACGGCTGTGCGCTTGTTTCTATGACACATAAGGTCTATAAATGTTAACTTTAACATGTCAAGACCCCTTACATCTAAAAATGCTAACTTATATGACATTGAATGAGTTTGATGAAACCGTAAGTGATTCTGAAGTATGCAGCAAGTCTGAGAGCCATCAAGTTTGAAAAGTTGAAAGATCAAAAAAAATACAGTGAAATGTGAAGTGAGCAGCTTTTTCAGGTTAAATTCAAGACTCAGTTAGGTCTATGTTTCATGATTATTGTTAGTACTGTAAGTTTTAGACCTGTCAAACAAATGCCAGTCAGTCGACAATGCCATCATGGTGGTCATAGCCTAGGCTACTGTATCAAAGACTAAGACAGACTTTGATGGGAGGTCCACATTTGCATTCATTCTTCATTATTCATTCAGTCCATTCTTCATCAGTGGTTGAGAAACAAGTTGATCATTGAATTCAGTTGTAGTCTTTATTATCAAATTACTCTTAAAGTACCCCCCCCCCCCCCCCCCAAAAAAAAAAAGTTTCTAGAAGAAACATTTATTTAACTAAATGTAACTAAACATCAGTGGAATCACTAAAATTACACATTTCTAAGGTTAAAACAAATATTAAAACAATCACACATCTGCAGAATAACAAGAACATATGAGACTGAAAATGACAGTTTTTGGCTTGTTTTGAGGGCGAGGCTTGTTTCTGTCGTCCTCTGTTGACTTTGCCAGTTTAGCAAACAGGAGACGATTAAAATAAATGAGCCTAGATTGATCCTGATACTCAGCGAGGGGAAGACTGATGGGGAAAGGCACGCGCAAGGGATGATTACGACTGTCCTTGCCCGATGACAAATGGCACTGTATTGTGCTGCAAAGCCACCGTTTTTTATCCCTTGGCATCAAAACATTTTTCGAATATCATCATAAGCATCATCGTCATCATCAGTGTCAGCATTCTATTGCCAGCGTTTTCCATTGAAGATGCCTATGATATTGCCAATGAATGAAATGAATGTGTCATATTAGCCAAGGTGACTGTGATTGCACAGCAGCACATTTCTGTCAGTAATAGACCTTATTGAATATTCACAGCGGCGCCATCTTTGATTTTTAACGGGAATGAAAGCGAGGCTGAGAGGGATAGACAAGACATTGGTTTTACTGTTATTTAATGTGTTTTTGGATTGTTCTACTGACAAAACACTGCAAAAATATCTTTCCAAGAAATTTCGGTAGACAAAAAAACTCCCAATTTAAGCTGTGGAAAATTATAAGTGATCAGGGGTTTTATACAATGGATGCTATTGAAAGTAAGTCTATCCCTCACAGCGTCGCTTTCATATCATGGGGCTGCTCTGAATAAGGTCTATTCTTTCTTCTGCTTTTTTTTACCTGAAATTTGACATGCCTTTTGTGGGCTGTATTTTATAAGCATCATTCTGTATCTAAAATATGAATGGTTCACACATTGTTGTATATTGCAGAATGAATGTATTATTGGTTGCATTACAGTATTAAAAAAAAAAAAGAAAAGAAATTAATACTTTTATTAAGGATGCATTAAACTGATCAAAAGTGAAAGTTAAGACATTTCTAATGTTAGAAAAGTTTCTATTTCAAACAAATGCTGTTCTTTTGAACTTACTATTCATCCAAGAATCTTAAACAAAACACCACAGTTCCCACAAACAATTAGGCAACACAACTATTTTCAACGTTGATTATAATAATAATTGTTTCTTGAGCGCCAAGTAAGCATATTAGAATGATTTCTAAAGGATCACATGACACTGAAGACTGGAGTAGTGGCTTTTTTACTGTCACAAGAATAAACGACATATTAAAATATATTAAAATAGAAAACAGTTGTTTTAAATTCAAGTAATATCTCACAACATATACTGAACATACAGAATTCCAGTATGGGACCTTAACTTGAGAAAGTGTAAAGATCAGATGGACTTCTAAATATCAGATTACAAACAATGAATTATAATATGAGGCATATTAATCATAAAAGACACTTCCATCACTGTGTTAAGTTTCTATCAGCTCTATTCAGTATCTAATAGTGACGGAATCAGTGATGGACCGAGAGGCTGTAAATGAAGAAACCCACAGAGGAGCCACATGGAGATCTTGAGAAACTGTTCTGCTGCAGATATCTGTCAGCTTGATGAGGCAAAAGACAGAAGCAATTACATTAAGAACAAGAATAACACAAGGTTTAGGAAATAAAAACATTACTATAAAGACGTGCTGTGCCACGCCAGCTTTAAAACCTCATTTGGAGAGAAGTAATTGCAATGGCTATTATTTATGAACCCTAAAGAAGTATGTTACGGAATGCTTGCATTGATCGACTACCTCCGCCAGTTTAATGTTTTGCATTGAAATTGAAATATTTATCCATTCATATGGTGTAAATCATACCACGTTGGCCACCGTTTATCTTGGCTGAGGTGCCCATTGCTTTTCCTCGCGGGCTCTTTCACTGGAGCGTGTGGCTGAAATTGAGTGAATTTGATTACAAACACATTGCCCCCTGTGTGGAGATGTTATCTCGGTGTTATCTTAATGTCACCCTCCGCGTGCAGGGCTGCGCTAATTTAATCGTCATTTTAGATATGATTATTTACTCCTTAGGAAAGAGACAATCTATACCGATGCACAATCCTTTATTCAATTGGAAAACCGAAATGCTTGAAATTAATTGGCAGAGAAGTTAAGAAATATTCTTATGAAAGCTGCCGAAATGATTAGCATGGGGCTCATCCAAGCAAAACACAGCCATTAAAGGAATAGATCACCCGAAAATGAAAATTCTGTCATCACCCTTTGTTTCTCACACAGAGCTTCCGTGTGTTCAGAAGACTTGAAAGCATGAGTAATAAGGAACTTGGAGGCTATATGAAGAAAAAAAAAAACCAGAAACGCATGCTATTTGTATAATAGCCTGCACAGAAGTGAGTAAAATGGTATAGCATTGCTTCAACCATTACGCAGGGCAATCGTTACTTGAACCTAATGACTCCCATGCGATGATGCTAATTTTCAGGCCTCCTTTAACACCTTCTGCTAATTTGCAGTCAGCGTAATGTGTTTCTTTTTTGCAATTTCTTTTTAGCAGTTACTTCAAAGTTAAACTCTTTTTTTTATGTGGGTTCAGTTGTTATCAACAGAGTGAAACATTCCTTGAGACATGGCATAATGTTTGACTTGCAGGCCATGCTAGTTTTGACGAGGTTAATAGCATAGGTCTCGCTGCTCATACAGATGAAAGGATGACCACACGTCCATGTAACATATTTTGTCCCGAGCCTCAGGGTACTTCTCTGTAACATGCATTCTCAAAAGTCTGCCTAACACTTCCACATGAGGAGATATTCAGCTTTAATCAACTGCCTCTCCTGCCTATTTCATTCTGGTATTCTTTGAATTAGATACACTGTGTTTCCTCTTTGAAGTTCAATTTGAATTTCATTTTTGTATCCACATTGATCATTTCCGTTTTTTTTTTTTTTCTTCTTTTAATATAAAAACTCAAAGCCCTCCTGTTCTGCATGGAAGTTTTGATTGAATTTGAGAATTTGTATGCAATGTTGGGTGTCTCTTGACGAAATAAAGAAAACATCTGGACATTCTTACCTTTTCTTGACTATGTCTAGACCCTGATCCCATTTTATCTTGACCAGCTGTAGTATCCCGGGATCATGTTGCGCCTGGTTGTCTACACTCCATGGCTGGATCGTAAAAAAAAAATAACAACATAAACCAAAAAGGCTTTACTTTTCCACATTATTCCATTATATTCCATCAGAATAATTCCCTCATTTTCTCTTAGACAGGGGTTCCCAAATAGTTCCCAAATACAGTGAACCTATAGCTCACACTGAGTTCCCAAATGCATGTTAAACTCGTAACAAAATTTAAAAAAATGAGATGGGGTGGGGGGATTATAATTTAATGTTTTTGTGTTCCCTCACAAAAGTTTTAAATCTTTTAAAACTTTAAAAATGTTTGCGTTTCCCCAAGAAACTTTGCATTCACTCGCAAAACTTTTGAGTTCTTTGCGAGTGAACGCAACATTTCTCGGGGAAACGCGAAACGTTTGCGTTTGCACGAGAGCGCAAAAGTATTGAAATATATGTTTTCTCCCATCGCATATTTTGGTTTCCCTTTATTTGGATAGTCCCTTTAATATCTTGAATATCTGTTGGAGGACCATCACAATAAAGAGTGAGCAGATACTAAGCAGACAGCTTACTAATACTCTAATGAGAGTTAGTTGACATGTACACTCACCTAAAGGATTATTAGGAACACCATACTAATACTGTGTTTGACCACCTTTCGCCCTCAGAACTGCCTTAATTCTACGTGGCATTGATTCAACAAGGTGCTGAAAGCATTCTTTAGAAATGTTGGCCCATATTGATAGCATAGCATCTTGCA